ACTGGCCATATCTCCGATACAGGGCCTCATACACTGTATATACAGAGCAGACTGGTCATATCCCCTATACAGGGCCTCATACACTGTATATACAGAGCAGACTGGTCACATCCCCTATACAGGGCCTCATACACTGTATATACAGAGCAGACTGGTCACATCCCCTATACAGGGCCTCATACACTGTATATACAGAGCAGACTGGCCGTATCCCCTATACAGGGCCTCATACACTGTATATACAGAGCAGACTGGCTGTATCCCCTATACAGGGCCTCATACACTGTATATACAGAGCAGACTGGCCATATCCCCTATACAGGGCCTCATACACTGTATATACAGAGCAGACTGGTCACATCCCCTATACAGGGCCTCATACTCTGTATATACGGAGCAGACTGGTCACATCCCCTATACAGGGCCTCATACACTGTATATACAGAGCAGACTGGTCATATCCCCTCTACAGGGCCTCATACACTGTATATACAGAGCAGACTGGCCATATCTCCGATACAGGGCCTCATACACTGTATATACAGAGCAGACTGGTCATATCCCCTATACAGGGCCTCATACACTGTATATACAGAGCAGACTGGTCACATCCCCTATACAGGGCCTCATACACTGTATATACAGAGCAGACTGGTCACATCCCCTATACAGGGCCTCATACACTGTATATACAGAGCAGACTGGTCGTATCCCCTCTACAGGGCCTCATACACTGTATATACAGAGCAGACTGGCCGTATCCCCTATACAGAGCCTCATACACTGTACATACAGAGCAGACTGGCCATATCCCCTATACAGGGCCTCATACACTGTATATACAGAGCAGACTGGCCATATCTCCGATACAGGGCCTCATACACTGTATATACAGAGCAGACTGGTCATATCTCCGATACAGGGCCTCATACACTGTACATACAGAGCAGACTGGCCATATCCCCTATACAGGGCCTCATACACTGTATATACAGAGCAGACTGGCCATATCCCCGATACAGGGCCTCATACACTGTATATACAGAGCAGACTGGTCATATCTCCGATACAGGGCCTCATACACTGTATATACAGAGCAGACTGGTCATATCTCCGATACAGGGCCTCATATAATGTATATACAGAGCATACTGGCCATATCCCCTATACAGGGCCTCATACACTGTATATACAGAGCATACTGGCCATATCCCCTATACAGGGCCTCATACACTGTATATACAGAGCATACTGGCCATATCCCCTATACAGGGCCTCATACACTGTATATACAGAGCAGACTGGTCACATCCCCTATACAGGGCCTCATACACTGTATATACAGAGCAGACTGGTCACAACCCCTATACAGGGCCTCATACACTGTATATACAGAGCAGACTGGTCACATCCCCTATACAGGGCCTCATACACTGTATATACAGAGCAGACTGGTCACATCCCCTATGTCGTTATAAGCAGTAATTCTTTTTTCTGAAAGACGGTCCATATACCTTGGCTGTAACCTGTAAAGTCTCCTGTGTGAGCCAAAACATTGCCTGTTCAACGTCACTAAAGTGTGCAGCTTGGAATAGAGCCTGTGTGCACGGATATTATTCTTTGGTCTAGAAATTCCTGAGTTGGTGGTAGTCACCCTGGTCTGTGTGGCACTATAGTGTTGTGGATACCCTATCTTCATTGGTGAGTGCCATTCCTTGGCACTTTGGTAAGATTAATTACAAGCTGACCTACTGGAATGAGTCATTTCCAAGTGATAACACTCCAGCTAATCTCAATGATTTAGAGATTATCTTCGTTTTTGTTCAGTTTGCGTAATTTGTATTATCCTGTCCCACCCACGATACATTTACCAGGTATCATTCTTTGAGATATTGTTCTTCCTTTGCGCACTGTATAGATGTCCCATGTTTAACCATTTCAGGTTGCCCGATGTCTATACCCAGTTTAGAAAAGCAGTTGAAACTCAATGCCAAGTGCGACCGAGTCTTCAGATGCCAGACAGGCTGAAGTCTTTACCAGCTGGCTTTGAGGAGGGCGATATTCCCACACTTCAAGACTTTGGGCAAGAAGGTATTTCTGATATTCTTCCAGGTAGTATCTGGAGTCCTTCTGTGTAGATGTAGCTTAGCCAACAACTTAAGGTCTAAGTTGCAAAATTTTTCCAACTAGGGTTTTCTGGCTGGTGGGAATTTAGTCTACTTGGGGAGGAAAAAAATATATTTTTTTTATATATAGTGTTTTTAAATATGATATATATTTTTCATACTTTAATGCTTTGAAAAATTGTTTTTAAAGTTTATCCTTGAATATTAAACCATTTGAAGTTTATTCAACAATATTAAATCAAGGTAGTAGTTTGTGTATTTTTCATTTATTTGTTGTCCTAAAATGCGTGCATATGAAATGTAATTTGAATTCTCACATTGTCCAAGCTTTTAAAGCATTCTAAGGAATCTAGGGATTCCTGGAAGAAATTGATGCAAGTTTAGGAATCTGTGCTCTATATGGCAAAATTGAGATGCAAATGTTTGTGTCGTGGTAGCTACCTGAAATATGAAGCACCTATTCTGTTTGAAGGTTTGTATGTGGCATCTGTGTTGGTTTACAGCGGGATGCAATTTCAGCTTTGGATATTAGTGATTGTGATTCTTGTAACAGCCTATGATTAGCTGCTGTTAATGACTTATGTGCTTGCCATGGCCTATGATTAGCTGCTATTGATTACTTATTTGTGTTTCTCTGATTAATAGATCCTGTGACAGATCCACGATCAGCCTTTCCATGCAGCGGAGGGGAGACTCAAGCATTACAGAGGCTGCAGCATTATTTCTGGGATACGGTCAGTAGAGATATTTCCATTTAGAAACCTTTAATTTAATATGAATTCTGTTAAGACATGAAATGGTTCATACATATCAGCATATTATGTTGGAAGCACTGCTCTGGCTATTGTAGATTTCCTGGGATCCAGTTCAGAAAATGATTCCAGAATACATTTCTATGACAATCTGATTTTTCTCTTCCCTTTTCCAGAACAATCAGACAATTATCTTTGTACAAAAGGCTAATTATTGAACACATTTACCATTGCAAAAGGAAAATGCCATAGTTTAAACATGAGTATTTAAAACATGTTTTACTTTTACCAAAAATATTACTTTTTAATATATTTTTAAACTTTGCTATTTTATTAACATTTTTGTTGTACCATTCTCTATCCCTAGAGGGAGCTGTGGATTAAAAGTATAAATGTATCATTTAATTTGTTACAGAATCTTGTCGCTTCATATAAAGATACACGGAACGGACTTATAGGAATGGATTATTCTACCAAATTTGCCCCATGGTGAGAAAAATAAAGAATGCCATTATTAGCCGTTGCACTCTCCCATGTCACTGTTTTACTCTGTATTACCATAGATGGTTTTCTATCAGTACAAGAAAAGGAGATATTGTGGATCACAGCATGGATCATTCTGTACCCAGGTCTTCCTTCTCCTTACATAAACTATACGAAAGCAATATCTATCCTTTTTATAGTAAAGGAACACTCTAATGAAAGTGTTGCTGATTTTCTTTTTTCCCCCTTATTTTATTTGGTAGATATACGACCAAAGAAGGCATGCATGTATTTTTTTCCTGCATGTTTTCTTTGAGGGTATATGGGGGGGAAAATACAGCTTGCAAAAGCTGCAGACCTATTGTCTGCAGCCCTTACAAGCCATCCCCTCTTTCCCAGGCACAGACTTTCAGGCTATGCCGGGTGAGTACTCAATTCTCCATGTGCAGACCCATTTTAGAAATGAGCAATGTGATGACTTTATGTTGTAGCCTAAAGCGGTTCTGTAACAATATGGATCCCTTCGACTGAGAGCCAAGGGATCCATTGCTCCATACCACCCGTTTCACCCCCGAACAGATTTGGACTCTGGGGCTTGCATAACATATCATTTTAGATAGTTGTTCAATCCCTCTGTGTCTTCTTTGTAGGCTCTGCCATCGTCAAGTTACAAAGATGGCCTGTAGAAATGGTATAATTTGCTTTGGGCATGGGCTTCAAATTATGCGCATGCCCAGTTAATGCTGAGGCTCTGTATCGTGCCACTTCATGATGTGAGGGTCAATGACAAAGTTGACATAGACCGTAGAGCATGACTCACCACCTTTTGTCAACCAGTAGTCCCTACTTTTCCTTATCTATAACTTGGCAAAAAAGTATTTTCTTTTTTTATTTTAAAAAGTGACAAAGCCACTATAATTTACTTTTTACTTGTTAAATTTGTGTCTTTCCTGATCATGTGACCTATGTATTTAGATCTGTCACAGCCGATGTGGCAGCCGAATGACAAACCCTATACTTCTCGCTTCTCTTTAGGTTGGCTCTGGGCTGCATCTCCCCGAGATATATTTATGAGCAGATTAAGAAGTACGAACGAGAGAGAACTGCAAATCAAAGCACATACTGGTATGGAATAGGGGAATAAATTATTTTAATAAACCAGGAGCAGATTGTGCAAAAAAGCAATCACAATTATTACAAATCCCCAAAAAAGGATTGGGATGTATATTACTGAAAGGACCACTATAGGCACCCAGACCACTCCAGCTTAATGAAGTGGTCTGGGTGCCAGGTCCATCTAGGATCAACCCTGCAATTGTAAACATAGTAATTTCAGAGAAACTGCTATGTTTACTTTAGGGTTAATCCAGCCTCTAGTGGCTGTCTCACCGACAGCCGCTAGAGGCGCTACCGCATTTCTCACTGTGATTTTCACAGTGCGAAGACGCCAGCGTCCATAGGAAAGCATTGAGAATGCTTTCCTATGGACTGACTGAATGCGCGAGCGTTCAGCTGATGACGGGGAAAGGAGTCAGAGAGTCCCCAGCCCCGAGGGTGAGGGGAACCCAAGTGCCCTATAGAGCCAGGAAAACGAGTATGTTTTCCTGGCACTATAGTGGTCCATTAACCCCATAAGGACACATGACATGTGTGACATGTCATGATTCCCTTTTATTCCAGAAATTTGGTCCTTAAGGGGTTAAGGGATTTTGGGGTTCTTGCACTTTTTAAGGTGCTGCTGGTTAATATAATTACCTGTTATTTTATTTTAGTGTCATCTTTTCACTTGTAATTTTTATTAATTATTATGACTGAGTAATAGAAAAGGACCCATTTACTTGTTTGCCTATTTTAGCCTAAGGGCAGATAAAGTGTAATAGCAGGTTTTCCAATTTGAGGTGTACTTATTTCTTTGGCATTGAAGTCCCAGAGCTTATTGTGCAAGAAAAACACAAGTAACGCTTTCTACCCCTTCTCGGATATGCCGACGAATTGAAATCGTTATCCAACCAATGTACAAAATCTCTGATCTCTAGTGGTAGCGAGTCCATTGAAGTTCTATGATATGCACAAAATGTTCCTGTACTACAAACCTATGTGTTGTGTGGTGTTGTGAGAAAAACCAATGAAATACAAGTTTAAAAAAAAAAAATGTCTGCACCATAGTTCTGTCCTAATCACATGTTTATAGAACAGCGCTATGATCAGAAAGCCGTATATAGAACTGTGTGAATTGAAAGATAACTTGTATCTCCTGCAAGGCCTTAATATTTTCCTTCTGTCGTAGGGTCATTTTTGAGCTTCTGTGGAGGGATTACTTTCGTTTTGTGGCTCTGAAGTATGGAAGCAAATTATTCTTTCCAAAAGGTTAGTTGGACCTTGTAAGACACCGTGAGCCAATTTCTTCCTGTAGGTTCAATTGCTGTAATCTCAGGTGTTCAGTAATAGAAACCTTTTATATTGCCATGAGATCGAAACTGACTGGCACTCAGAAACCATACACAGAAAGAATGTGGAAAAGCTGGAACAAGCCGTTTAATTTAGGTTAAAACGTGGTTCACAGAATCACAGGAAGGCGCCATTTACATATTTCGGTTCTTTTGACTTTCCGTGATCAATAGAATAAAAATCCTGCAAACAATCAGGAAACCATGTAAAAAAAAATCAAAAATGTGATACATTGCAATGTCACCGAGCTAAGCATAATTCCTTATACACGTAGCAAAACTCCAGCACTAGCTATTATCAGTGTGTACAGAGATGATGTATTTTATATTTACAGTCATAGCATTTATTTATAGGACTGTGGGTTTTCTGATATGAAAATCATGAACTTTTTTTTTCAGTTGTCCACACACTGCAGACACATTTAACATCATTTGTCTGTGCTTTTACATACTTTATATTGAGGATTGGTAATCTCATTGGAATGGAATGATCTGTCACAGAATTTACACATCTCTCTCTTCCATCTAGATGACAGAAAATACACAACATGTGTAGGGTTTGTGTTGATTTTTTTTTTGTTTAGTTTTTTTTTTTTTTTGCCAGACTCTTTGAATCTTGAAGACGTCACTTGTTGTTTTGGTGTACCCTAAAGCCCTTGTATATACCTGCTACCACACAGACACATCAAATGCATCACACGCTGTTATGCTTGGTTTTTCCATCTTTCAGTGTTGGTAACTCTCAGTTGATAAATTAGAATTATAACACCACATGTTCTTTTAAACACCTGTTTAGGGCTACAGGATAAGCCAGTTCCATGGAAGAAAGACCCCAAGCTTTTTGACGCCTGGAAAGGTTGGTGTTGTGTGAAATCTCTTTGTTTTTAAAATGACCCATTATAGGATGGGAAGGTAGGAGAATCCCACTACGTGATCCTGAAAGTAAAATGACCCACATTTTGAGTCCTCCGAAGTGGTGCAGATCTCAACGTGATGGTGCCTATATGCATAACTGAAACTATATTCCCTGTGATCAGTACTTCTCTTCCATAAGATTTAAAGGGAGACTCTGGGCACCAACACAACTTGAATGTATTTGATAGATTTTGACTTTATTAATATGCTGTATTTTTTTTCATAAAACAAATAAATGTTTTGCAGAATGCTGCACCATAAGCCTGCCTCCTCAGCCACACCCCCTTGTGCCAGAAAGACTTCCTTATCGAACGTATGTACACAGTCTCAGCCCCAACAGTACTGAGTGACTGGTTTTTAATTCACAACTAGGCTGCAGACAGTCACAGAAACTACAAACAAATATCCTTCCTATATTTCTCCCTGGGTGTCCTCTCTTTCTAACTGGTAGTGACTGAATACATACATTGATAGGAAAGTCTTTTTCTGGAGTGAGGAGGTGTGGCTAAAAAAGAAGGCTCATCATGCTGCATTCTGCAAAACCTTTATTTATTTTGTGCAAAAATACTAAAGATTTGAGCATGCAAAAAAATACAGCATGATAACGAGGCCAAAATCTGTCAAATGCAGTGAATATAGTATTGGTACCTGCAGTGTCCCTTTAAGTTCCCCTGCTGTGTATTCACCTCAAACGATTTGTGATCATTGAAAATCAGTCTACCATGACCTTTTACTAGAATAAAAAATAAATAAAAATGAAATAAAATTGTTTACATTATTTGTTAAAGTTGTCGGTCATTCCTCCTATTCTACCCATGGAAACATCCCTCTAAAATGAAAAAAATAAAAAATAAAATTCAAAATTTTGAAGAAAAAAAAAAAGGGGCCAACCTGACTTTATTCTTGTACTTATTTCCAAAAACCATTCCCACGGATTGAAACATTTATTTACAGTCTTGTTTTAAAATATGAATTCCTGCCCTTTTCTAAGTGTTGGGATTATATTCTAGACATCGTAGGTTGATTTTAAGTGTGCGTTTTGGTATTTTATGACAATCTGCTGCTTTCTTTCTGTAGAAGGACGTACGGGGGTACCTTTTGTTGATGCTAATATGCGTGAACTGGCAGTGACTGGATTTATGTCCAACAGGGGGCGACAGAACGTGGCTAGTTTCCTGACAAAAGACCTTGGAATTGATTGGAGAATGGGAGCAGAGTGGTTTGAGTATCTCCTGGTAAGAGGTGGTCTCATACGGTCATGTGATAAAATTATTTATTTATATATAATATAGGGCTCACAAATCCCTCTGTCAAACTGCACATACCTCATTCTGCATGGAGGGAGTAACAGACAAGAATATAACACTTGACATTGTTTGGAAGCAACCCTTGGCGTGGGATTATGGGATGGATAGACTCTAAGGCATGATTTGTAAAGAATTTGGCTCACTTTTGTTATAAATGCCTAATACAGGCAGCAGGCGTGATGTACTTTATACTCTGTTTTGTTCCCTCTTCTTTTCAACCTTTGCTGAATCACTTCTCTGTATCACAAGGAAGAGAAACTTACATTTATCAGAATTTATACCTCAACAGAGTTTATTAAGCCGAAAAGTGAAATTTTGGTGAACTTAAAACCAGACTGCAAAAACTAAACTAAAATAGCCAAGTTGCAAAAAAGAAGCTGCGTTTAAAAAAAGTTTACACTTTTTGTTTATATTTTGCTGGTCCCTTTTTAGTCGACCACAACTTTGTCCATACTTTGTATGCATCAGGTCCAACTGAATAATTAGATATAATAATAATAAAAATAACTTTTTCCATGAAGCCCCAACTGACCCTGTCGAAGGCCTTTTCTGCATCTAGCGACAGGATCAGGAGGAGCTCCTTTCCCTGGTCAGCCATGTCAATAGAATCAATCAACCTTCTTATGTTGTTACTAGCCATTCTATCTGGTACGAAACCAATTTGATCAGGATGTATAAGGTTTACTAAGACCATTTCGATTCTTGCTGCAATAATAGAGGCATAAAGTTTGACATCGATGTTAATAAGCGAAATGTGACGGTAACTTTTCCCGTCCGATGGCTCTTTGTCTGTCTTTAGTATAGGTAATATATTGGCCCTAGCATTTCTTGGGGGAACTTTCCCTCCTTAACTGCATTATTAAATGTTTTAGTTAGGTTCTCTGATATTATATTTTTCATTGCTTTATAAAAACTATTACTGAATCCATCCGGCCCGGAGTTTTAAAAGGAACTAGATTGTCTATAGCCTTTTCTACATCTCTAGTAATTTCTTTATTAATTATGGCAAATTGTTCTCTAGAAATCTTTGGCAGATTTAGCTTTGAGACAAATTCGACAGTTTCCCTTCCTCTATTAGTCTCTGGCAAATCATATACATTTTTATAAAACTCATTAAAGGCCTCAACTATTCCCCCCGGAGAGATGTACACTTCGTCACCTTGCACTATTTTCCCAATTATATTATTTGACTCTTTTTTTTTTTTTTTTTTTTAACTGGTTGGTTAATATCCGATCTGCTCTAGTATTTCTTTTTTTAAATCTTTAATTTTTTTTAAATTATTTATTTTCCGCGTGGAAAGATAACAAACATGTGTGGAAAGATGGCCACAACAGCCTCTACACGTCAATCAGAATCGGTGCATGTTAAGTACAAGGCATTGCTGGGTTCTGTTCGCACACATTTTGTAGTTAAAATAGGTCGCATTGTTATAGTGAGGTATTTAAATCGTATAACTGTGGGGGTGTAAGACTTCCGTCTGCCTAAGACACCCTTTGCTCCGTGAGGTCATGGGTGAAGGGGAGAGGGCAGTTTCGGCTAAGTCTGATGGCTATGTCTAATTCACGGTCATGTGTCTCAAAGTTATGGGTGTTTGGTGTGTCTCTTGGCCCTTCTGCATGTGGACAGGGAGTGGTTTGTGGTGATTGTGGGATCCCTCTGTGTGTTCCCCTTCTAGGACTAGGTCCACTCCCTTGTTTGTTCCTGACTGTAGGTATTGATTTGCACCAGTGTGTGTTGTGCTCTAGGCGTCATAAGGTGTATATTTATCCTAGTGGTGGCTGCGCGTGGTTGCTGGTCAATGTAGCAACTATGGATTTTGAGTCTAGGTGTATATAAGTCGCTGTGCTGTGACAGGATCAAGCTGTGCCCGTGGGGCGTTAGGCTAGGGGTGTTAGACATGGCGGTGAGCTTGGTACAAGTTACTAGGTCGCCCTTGATGTCAGTTCCCTTTAACCCCAGGGAGGGGGGAGGTGTCGTTGGAGCAGGTGTGATTGGCTCTAGTGGGCCTTTTTTCACACTGTAATAACTGTTAGAGTGAGAGAGAACTATATGTAACATAAACTATAGAAAATAGGAAGCAGAAAGGATGCACTCTTGTAGGGATTAACCCTTAATGGACTACAGCAGTAGTAAAGGCAAGGAGAAAGAAAAAGTGAGTGCCCTCAAGTTAAACTGTAACTTTTAATACTAAATAAAGTTTAAAACCAGATTGATACGATGTATCCAAAATGATCAACAAAAATACAGTGTTATCAAATATATGCTTAAACTAATAATAAATGGATCATAAAGATAAAATACTAAAAGAACAATTAATTTCCTATGAATAAATAACGATAAATTGATAAAGGAGATCCTGTTCTAAAGTTTTCAGGACAAATCTCCAAATGATATGCAAAAAACCAAACAGGTTTTTTGTGCATTCAAGTGTGTGCATCAATTAAGTTGAAATAAAAGGAAAGAAAAAGTCCATAAAGTAGGAATTGCTACATAGAGTGGTGTAACAAAAAAGGGTTCTAAAGGTCTTAAGTAATAAATAGACCTAGATACATTAGTAGCTTTTACACGGAAATCATGATGTCTGCATAATGACTTAACCACATAGAACCCCATTCATAGTGCTAGTTGGATCCAAAAGACGCACTAGAAAGAGTATAGTGATATAAGAAAAAGAAAAATTATTCTTCACTATATAAATAACTCCTGCAGTGGGAATAGGGATCACTGCCTGAATAGATCAAAGACGTGTGCTCAGTAGGCCCCCCACTATATAGCTGGAGTAGGACTAAATATCGATGTGTAAGATATAAAGTATAGTAGCCGTCTAAACAGACGCCAATTCTGTTGTAAATAAAGATATATCGATAGAGCCCTTTCCCCTGACGCGCGCGATACATTCAACATATGCACAGAGAAGTGGAAATTCTGCAAGACACCCAGGAGCCAATACAAGATGATTGCGGAGAAGATCCAGAAGGTTATAATCTGCAAATGAAATCTCGTTGCCTACAAGAAAGCCTTTTCCATTATTATTCTGACTCAAGAAACTTTCAAAGTGCTTTAAATCAGCAGATAAATTCTTAATGTAGTCATCCTTTCCTTCTTCATAATTCTTATAAATTAGCTGCAAATATTTTATCCTGAGATCTTCTACCCCATCATTCATCATATCTATACAGGATTGATCATTAGGCTCCTTCCCATATAAACCATGCTTCCTTGCAAGATGGCGCAGAATAGCATTAGACTGATACAAGGTGAGATCACCATCTTTAAATCCTGGAAGTTGCCCAAACACCGCTTTAGCTTTCAGATCTCCTTGCAGCCAGGTGTCAAACGTTACAATTTCTTCCTTCCATTCCAAACCTTGGTCAGCTAGAAGTATTCGTGCTGCTTCACAACGACCTCTGACATTGAAGTATATAATTGTGTATTCTGGCATTGTTCTCTCTGGTGCGACACTCCTTATATGACACAAAAAGTCACCCCAGGACATACTTAAAGGAACACTATAGTCACCTAAATTACTTTAGCTAAATAAAGCAGTTTTAGTGTATAGATCATTCCCCTGCAATTTCACTGCTCAATTCACTGTCATTTAGGAGTTAAATCACTTTGTTTCTGTTTATGCAGCCCTAGCCACACCTCCCCTGGCTATGATTGACAGATCCTGCATGAAAAAAAACTGGTTTCACTTTCAAACAGATGTAATTTACCTTAAATAATTGTATCTCAATCTCTAAATTGACCTTTGTTCACATACAGGAGGCTCTTGCAGGGTCTAGCAAGCTATTAACATAGCAGGAGATAAGAAAATCTTAATTAAACAGAACTTGCAATAAAGAAAGCCTAAATAGGACTCTCTTTACAGGAAGTGTTTATGGAAGGCTGTGCAAGTCACATACAGGGAGGTGTGACTAGGGTTCATAAACAAAGGGATTTAACTCCTAAATGGCAGAGGATTGAGCAGTGAGGCTGCAGGGGCATGTTCTATACACCAAAACTGCTTCGTTAAGCTAAAGTTGTTCAGGTGACTATAGTGTCCCTTTAAGGTTATCTTTGTTTTTTGGTTGCACACCTAATACATCACGTTTTGTAATTTACTCCTCAAAGTGACCATTCCACGCTCTGTTTGCTTCGCACCAATCCTGTCTTGATACTGTATATCGTCCTTGTTCCCTAGCAGCCAGGACAATACATGAAGCCAGATTTGTTCTTTGTTCACAGGTCGATTATGACGTTTGCAGTAATTATGGAAATTGGTTATACAGTGCTGGAATCGGCAATGATCCCCGGGAGAATAGGAAGTTCAATATGATTAAACAAGGACTGGATTATGACGTCAATGTGAGTATGTGACCTAAGGGTACATTCACTAAACAGAGACTATGCGGAGAGGAGTATCAGCTTTTAGATTGTAAGCTTGTTTGGACAAGGCCATCTTCACCCACTGCTTCATGTCAAACATGTTATGTTAGAATGAATTGTTTAACTGTTGTACATTGCTGCGGGATATTTTGATGCTGTATAAATAAAAGTAATTTCTGAGATATGACTAAGAGAACTGCACATTTTAAATCAAATGATCCCAGACATCCAAGCTATCCATTCGGAAAGTTTTACCTAAATATTTAAACACTGCTGTCAAAGCCCTATTTGGTGAATAACCGACTAAGTGTCACAGACTGCGTTTTTGGTTTTTTTTGCATGTGAATATTGCTCTAATTGTAAAAGGGTACAACGTTAGGACATAATTTCCTGCATATGTAATATTGCACGTCCTGCGGGGAAGTGGAGGAGGGTCTATGCCGCCTGCCCTTTGCCTAAAACCCATTACCTGCAGACTGACACTTGGGCACATTGAGCCTCACAAACATTGGCTGAAAACAACATTTAATGTTTCTCTGACACCCCAGTATGTAAAGAATTTGCAGTAATGTTAACTGAACTAAATATGCATTAAAATGCCCCCTTTGTATTTTGTGTAGTTTTTGCTGGTTAAATGTGTCTAAACGTATGCCCTATGCGGTTCCCTTTAACCCCTTAAGGACACATGACCTGTGTGACATGTCATGACTCCCTTTTATTCCAGAAGTTTGGTCCTTAAGGGGTTAATATATTAAAATCCAAATACCATTTTTTTTTTTTTTTTTTTAAATCTTCAGACTATACCAGTCATATCCTGGTATGATCGGTACACAGAGTATTATCGATCCAGGTCTTCTTAAAACCTGCTTGATCCAGAAAGACAGTTATAACACTGATCTTGTGTCGCTCTGCGCTGTCATTTTCTTACTCAACTGTGACAATCCTGGTTTCTCCTTTTATAACTTCCCTCTGTAATAAACCCACGCTCCAGTTCAGGAAATTGTGAAGCTACAGCTTTGAATGGTGATAATTATTTACATTTTAATATTCAGTACAATCATTTTGTTTTTGAGAATGGTCGGTAATGTTTAGAACGAATGGTTAATAATCTGTATATATTCACTTGTTTCATTTATAGGGTGATTATATCCGACTCTGGGTTCCAGAACTGCAGAACATCCAGGGGGGAGACGTTCACGCTCCCTGGGCATTAAGTAACTCCGCACTTGCACACGCTGGAATTACGCTTGGAGAGACCTACCCATTGCCAATAGTAAAAGCTCCAGAGTGGAGTAGGCACATCAATCAGAAACCAGTAAGACATGCTCCTATCTCATTAATTGGTATCATTATTTGCAGCTTCAATACAAAAGGAGAACGTTTCAGAATATAAAAAGTACATTTATATATTGTCCATATATGTGTTAAAGGGACACTATAGGCACTAAAATCATTTTAGCTTACTGAAGTGGTTTTGGTGTATAGATGAATCACCCGAAGTCTCACTGCTCAATTCTCTGCCATTTAGGAGTTAAATCACTTTTGTTTCTGTCCATGCATCCCTAGCCACACCTCCCCTGGCTGTCACTCACAGCCTACATGGAGAAAAAAAAAATTGTTTCATTTTCAATCAGATGTCAACTTGCTTTAGAAGTTTTTATCTCCTGCTCTGTAAATTGAACTTTAATCACACACAGGAGGTACCTATAGGGTCTAGCAAGCTATTACCAGTGCAGCAGATACATTCTAAATTAAACAGACTGTGCAATAATTGAAGTTTAAAACGCAAACACTACACACAAGTACACTACGACATTCAAGTGGCAACAATTCATACAAATACACCTCTACATGCGCACACAAACTTTACGCAAAAACATGCTTACATTCAAACTCCCAAACACTGCTCACAAATACAACCCAGCAAGGATGGGGAAATGGTAGATCATCAGCTGGCATAGCATTGTGCGAGTTGTATGCCAGGTGGGGGATCTACCTTTTAGCCACTCTTGCTATAGATGGGGGGGGTGTGAACAACATTTTTTCCCCCTCCATTAGTTCTGCCAATGTATTCATTCATATGGGTCCTGTATCTGCTAGTCACCATTTAATCTCCTGGGTCCATGTGTGCCAGTTTAAGCCAAAGAGAATTATTAAACAAATGAGAATTTGTTTGACAAAATAATAAGGCATTTTGCGTCTTTTATTATCTTACACAGTGCTGCGTTATTGCAATTTCTCACTCTCTCCATAACAACCGCCAAAGATCATAATGAATTTGTGAGCTGCATCACATGTGCTATACACTGAAACAAAGCCTTTCGTTTGCTTGCAGGACAGTGGCGGATTTGCAGCGAGAAGAGGAAAGGGGCCCTCTCTCACCCCCAAACAACACCGGAACAGAGGCATAGACTTTTATTTTTCACGGAATAAAAATGTGTAACTGAACAAATGGAGAAATGTCGCGGGACAATACAATTCTGTTACAGCCCAGAAATGGGCATCACTGCACAATAAAAAAAGTACAATGGGTTTAATGGTTGAACCCAACGGGAAGAATAGACAATTAGAGGTATTTCTAATACCATATAAGATGGGCTCAGGGAAATTAAACTGGTGATCTCCATATATTGCCTGTGGTTGATGGAATCTGAGCTGCAATAACCATATTGAGAAAGACCACAGCCAGATGAGACTAAAAATGTATGCATAGTGATTTAAAATCTTAGGTTCGTTCCCTATGGCCATCACCAACCAGCTGGCTAAACACAGAAGGTTTTGTAGTACAAATCAAATTTTAAATGGCTTATTCTTTGATATAATGTGAGGATGGTGGTGTCCCCCTTCACATTCCTTGTAGAGTTAAACAGATATATTGTGCTAGGTATATTGCTATAACTTGGTGCAATGGAATGTTGCTGTTAGCATTGTGAGGTCACATTGATCCTTTAAATATTACTGTATCCACCATGACTGCTGACTCGAGAGCGGTGTAAGCCTACAATGTTATCTATACATTGGCCTCCTGCTTGGTAAATACAGAGAATAGCATGTCCTACCGTTTGCCTCTAAGATGTCAGCTACATAACCCCTTCTCTTACAGCCTAGATAGCGAGAAATATACAAATTCTCTCGCCTGGCTTCCACTGCCACCATTGCATCTGATCTATCGTTGGCCTTTAACAGCCGAGTCTGCCAAAAGATTTGTAAGGGCAATGCCCGCATCCTTCTTTCCCAGGATGTCTGGATATTATGCAATGTTTCGTATATTATATCAAACTGTTAAAACATTTTACATTGCCCAGCAACATGAAGCTTTATAATGTGTGTGCGTGTGGGTATATTAAAAACTTTTTGTGTGCATATTTTGGCCTGCATCATGTCTCCAGTAAAGGATCTGTTTGGGTAACAGGACACATTTACAGTGAATCATATGCTTGGTGTCACTGGAATCACTTACACAGGGAACACACCAGTATGATGCAATTTCAGTCATTTCAATTACTGTTACAAGATTGCATGCCTATGACACACTGGATCCTGAATGAAATTATGTCACTGGCACTGGAGACCCCGTGTGACACATGTATTTCCAAGCTGACTGATACTACCAGTCTCTCAATGCTTATGACAATCTTTCTAATTTTTATTCATTTCACAGTTTCAAAAAAAAGGAAATAAACCAAACCGTATATTTCTATATTTAGAGCACTCATTCTGGAAACTTTCAAAGAAGTAGAAATGTCATGTCATATTCCAATGTAGTACACAAAAGGATTCGGCAATAAATACTGCTTATTTAAGCAGTTTTTGTTTTTCTGCTGAATGACTGACTTTGTACTGCAAAATTGTGTTTAAATAGAAGACTTAAAACAACAAAACACAGTAATTATTATTATTATTATTACTATTATTATTATTGGTATTTATATAGCGCCAACAGATTCTGTAGCACTTTACAATATTATTAGAGGGGGGATGTAACTATAAATAGGACAATTACAAGAAAACGTACAGGAACAATAGGTTGAAGAGGACTCTGCTCAAACGAGCTTACAGTCTATAGGAGATGGGGTGTAAAACACAATAGGACAGGAAATAGCAATCAAATAGGGTGGGAGTGAAGCAGAGCTGGAGGAGAGAGTAGAGTGCTGCCCTTTAGGAGAGCACAAGAGACAGGTATGTGAGGTAGAGGTTAGTTTGGGAGGCCATAAGCTTTCCTAAAGAGATGGGTTTTAAGGCACTTCTTAAAAGATGCAAGACTAGAGAAGAGTCTGATGGCGGTAGGCAGGCTATTCCATAGGAAGGGAGCCGCCCGTGAGAAGTCCTGCAAGCGTGAGTTGGCCGTATGGGTGTGAACAACGGACAGGAGGTGGTCACAGGCAGAGCGGAGAGACCGAGAAGGGACATACCTATGGATCTGTGAAGAGATATGAGGGGCTAGAGTTGTTCAGTGCTTTATTGGTGTTAATTAATACCTTGAATTGACTCCTATAGGATACAGGAAGCCAATGTAAGGCCTGACAGACGGGTGAGGTGTGAGAGAACCGACTAGAGAGAAAAATCAGTCTGGCGGCAGCATTCATTATGGACTGTAGCGGTGCAGTACGGCTTTTGGGAAGACCAATCAGGAGAGGGTTACAATAATTCATGCAGGAAATTATTAGAACATGGACAAGCTCCTTGGTAGCATCTTGTGTAAGAAAGGGGAAGATGCGGGCTATGTTTTTAAGATGGAATCTACAGGATTTGGCAACATACTGGATGTGAGGCCAGAATCAAGTGTGACACCAAGACAGCGTGCTTGCAAGCATGGATTGATGTGGGTACCACTAACTTGAAGGGAGAGCGAAAGAGGAGAATCAGTATTAGAAGGAGGAAAGATGAGGAGTTTTAGAGATTGAGTTTCAGAAAGCGGGAGGACATCCAGTCAGAGATGGAAGAAAGGCAAGCAGTGACATGTTGCAGGAGAGAGGTCCGGGGAGGAGAAATATCTGGGTGTCATCAGCGTACAGGTGGTAGTGGAATCCAAATGAGGTAATAAGTTTGCCAAGAGAGGCAGTATAAAGAGAAAATAGAAGGGGACCAAGGACAGGGCCTTGGGGGACCCCAACCGAGACAGGACGAGGGGAGGAGGTATCATTAGAAAAAGAGACACTGAATGAGTGTTGGGAGAGATAAGAGGAAAACCATGAGAGGACAGACACTGAGTGATTGAAGAGTTTGAAGAAGGAGAGCATGATCAACTGTGTGAAAGGCAGTCAAAAATTAGACTTTTGTAACAAATAAGTTTAAAACATATTCTTATTCATAAACATATTCTTAAAATTTGAGTTAAAAAAGAAAAAAATAGTATTCCAGATTTCACTTAGATGAAAAATGTTAACGATCAATGTAAATTTTAGTGTGATCAGGCTGGAACCTCCATGTCTCAGTTTGCATTTAGACCAGTTAGTTCCATTTTATTTTGTACAAGAGCGCACAGGAATCATTTCTTCATTATATTGGAATTTGTCTGTTTCATTCATTTCGAGACTCCAATTTGCTGAGATTTGTAATGAGAAAATATCCTAAAAAGAGTCAAGTTACAATATCAGGGTGAAAAGTTTTGGTTGTATCAATACACCTCAACCGAATTCTTTTTTTTTTTTTTGGAGGGGGGATTGGCAAAATTGAGTTCATATTACTGTTCGGTTGAATTTGTGAAAACTATTAAGACAGCCAGAACAGCAGGAAAAATCCCTTATGACCGTGCTGCCATGCAAAAAAAATAAAAAATAAATAGCTACATTGTTGCCTGGAGTAATGGCTACACAATATCAAGCGTTTTTGCTATTCTAATTTTCCAAAATTAGACTATTATATAAACGGATTTAAAAAAAAGTTCTAGTATTTCCTTTATAATAATGGATTGTAATCGTTAGCACTATCTTCTATTCTAAAAAATGGGGAATAGGAGTCATTTTCCATTCAAAGCAGCAGTTTATCCAAAAATGAAAGGTAACGGTCAGTGGGCACTTGACCACCCACTCAGCCAATCCACACTCACAGGAACAAAGCTTTCAAACATGTGTAGTCTGTGAGTCAGTGACCATCCTACAGTGTGGCAGAGGTAGCAAGCACAGCGTCCAGCCCCCCAGGTCATTTTTATCTGACATTTATGGCCTGTTATATTCGCTTGTTACTTCGCTTTTATAAAACTGGAGATTTGAAACATTAATACGAGTTTCCATTTGTTGAGTGTAAAGATTTATTGTATTCAAATTTCTATCTTCCTGATGGGGCTCTCTGCCCGGTGAATGCCAGAGTTGTTTTAGCTTACTCTATTGATTATATGATATTGCTGGGGCCATAGTGGTCATTTCTCATTGTTTGATCTGTAAGGACAATCCAAGCATTATTTAATACACAGGTATGGAATCCTAAGCTACCCCAAATTTCTCACCATTCCTGTTGACTACCAACTAAATTAGGGGCTTTAGGTTTACCAGATTTTACAAATATTATAAATATAGAGCTTCCCTAATCTCTAAATTACTAACATTGTGCTTCACCACCTTTATGGATGTCTTTAGAAGACACCTGATTATCTCTGCCATTACCTAAAACTACAGTCGCTGTAAGTAAGCGCGTTTGGTACCTATGGACATATAAGTTACCAGGCAAACTAAACCCACTAACCTTTTTTGCCTATCACTACACTTTACTTACTAACCCCCCGTGTCTTCATACGTGGGTCTTGATTTAAAGGACAACTATCATCTCAAACGTATCTTTTAATATAATCATCCTTACATCAAGTTCTGAAAAGAAATAGAAATATATACATATTTCAATTCTTTCATTTGGTGCAAAAGATGATATACCGGTAACAGGCATTCATGCTTTGCCACAACAGCATTAGCATGTGCCATCATAAACAGGATTCTACAATTGGGGCAGAAGAGTTAGTTGCACATTTTTTAAATAAAGTTGTCAAGAAGAAACAGAGTACTAGTCCGTGGTGTAGTGACATAATATAAGGTGAGAGTTCTAATTGTATTGGCTGACTATACATGTGTGTTAACTAGAAGAGATGTGTGATGTGCTTGAGAGATAGATTGACAAGCTGGTGAGCCTCACATCTGACTGGTCCTATGAGTTATATGTGCAATGGCAAACGTGTGTGTGATATGTTAGGTTGACCAGTAGTGTGTTTAAGCTTTTCAATACAAGCAATAAAGGTTTATAGAATAGAATAGCATAAAACATATAACAAAGTCCACTGGGTGTGAGAGTGCATCTTTTAGGAACAGAGGACCCAAACCTCTGTGCGGGGGTGGCTGCGTTTGGTGCAGTTCACCCGGTATGTTTTGCGGCTATATAGCCGCTGCTTGTGCCGCCAAAATGTTCAGTCGGCCAAGAACTCGTGCTGCTCGCATTCGCACGGCTCCGAGGTCAGGCTCCGCCCCAAAATAGAAATATTTTTTAATGTAGTATATGAAAAATAAATAAAAAGAGAGAGAGGAATTAATCAATGTCTTTAGTATATAACAGGATCATTCAGCAGTATACATTGGGTCAGACAGTGTTTGGAAACCAAGAGTCTTTATGGTCTTCCCTGATTCTGGGTAGGATGTGAAGCCGGAAAGATCATAGAGACTAAACAAGGCCCTATTCGAATGAGCTTACAATCTAAGAGATGTATGCACTGTCACACATATACAGATACAAACAAATTATCATTTTCTCTGGTTTTACCATTTATAGGTATGTGTTTGAGTACAATTAACATTTTTGTTTTATTCTATAAACTACTGTCAACGTTTCTGCCAAATTCCAAATTAAAATATAGTAATGTTCAGGATTTATTTGCAGAAAAGGACAACTGGTCAACATAACAAAAAAAAAAAAAAACACAGAACATGTGTGAAAACAAATATAAGTTAAATCTACCTTTCCTTATGGAATATGTTCACCGCTTTTGAGTTTGCTTTGAAATCTTACCCCAATAAACACTTCAGCAGTTTTTAGTGCAGTGAATAAACTATTATTATAACCTATTATAGCCTGATTCATGAACGCATAATCGGACGTCTTTACCTACAGTTATCTGCTTTAACAATCAGCACACAGTCACACTCTGCAAAATTATTTGAAAATAGAATGTGCTGTTACTCCACAGGTTTTAATGCTTAAATAAAAGTCGCAAACCTGGTGTGCGGCACATCAAACCCTAATTGCACAAAATCTAACTACTATCTGGGTTTGAAATGGGTTTCTGTGGAAGTCCAAGATGTGAAACATTTCTTGCTTGATCCATTAGTACCGTTTCTCCCCTCCGTTTAATATGATGTAAGATTGTGCCACAACCTGCCACTGTATTTTACCTGATTAATTAATAGCGCTGATTTTCCACATTGATGCTGCAATCCTTGCTGGATTGAGAAGGCAATCCTGTTTGGTTTGGTAGCTTCAATGAAAGTCATATATTCTAAAAACAAATTAGTGTAAGTAAAAGATAAGATTTTGTTTGTGAAGGAAATCTGATGATTTTTATCACATAAGAAGTATCCGCTTTAAGTGTTCTCTCATCAAACACAGGGTTATTTTCAGAAATTACAATTGTAAGGAATTTAAATTGAATTATAAATGTTAGGCCACAGTAGCCAAACTCAGAGCAAAGCTGGCTTCGAGAAATATACTAATTCAGCTATTTTGGCCTTAAATTTAAAATTCACTCTGAATTAACTTTACATTCATGACAATTCTCACTTTAGTTTATAAACCTGTTAATTCTTTACCCGGGATTTCCCAAGTTTACATATGCGTGGGATAATTTATTAAAAAGGAATTTGCTCATTTTGAGCCAAAATATCTGAATTTGAATTTTTTTAAATGTTTCAGATATTTAAAAATGTTCATATTAATAACATCAGGAGATCAGTTGCCACAATGTTTGAGTCAGAAAGGGGAAGAGGCACAACACATACTGAGTGCATGGTGTGATAGTGGGCTAACTCCCTGCAGGATTCTACTCCTTCCTTTCCTTATCACCCCCTCCTGCCCCATCTGACTCACCAGACATGCTCTTTACGGTCCCACTCTGTCCGAGAAGAGAGAGGCATCTGATGTCTAATTGGTTACATGGCGTTCTTCCTTTCCTAAGGAAGTTCCTTTATTGAATAACCACTGATGACACAGTTCATGAACATATGATGTAATCAATTATTTACTCACTACAGGCTATAGGTTTACAGAATATGAACCAATTTAATAATCTGCAGAGATTACTATTTTTGATAATACATGTATTTACAAAAAAAACAAAACAACAACATTAAGCACTAGAGCCACTACATCTTAACAGGACAATCTAAACACCGTCAGTCTTGCAGCCACTATTGGCACTTGCGCATTGAAGACATTTGATTTTTTAAAGGTCTTCATGTTTGGTGCCTTTTTCAAATCCTACTAAAGCTTCACACAGAGACACATAAGATTGGCGGAGATCCTGAGACCATCAATATTGATCAATATTGAACGCAGAGCTTTATTCTAGGTAAGTTCAATTTCCCAGTTTTTTTGCTTTTTAAAATTTTTTGTTTATATAAAAGAGGCGGGCCATGAATCCCTAAATGGGACAGAATATACTCTAACATTACAAACCATATATTTATGGTTAGCGTATTCCTTTAATGAAGTGTTTTTTTTGTGCGCATGATGCTGTCCCTTTTCCCAGACATTGTAGAACACTACCAAAGTCATTTACTAACGTGAGAATTGTTGGGAATTCAAATGGATTCACAGTGAATTTCAAATCTTAGGCCAGAACAGGGGAATTGGGAAAATTCTCTAATTCGGTTGTGATTCCACTTCAGCTAACTTGCTGTTAAATTTGAAACTCACTTTGAATTATCTTTGAAATCAAGGAAATTCTCAGTTTAGTGAATGACCCTAGAAGAGAAAGATTGAATTGGACAGAAATCACAATGATTGATAATCTCATAGTGGGAAGATTGGGGTGCAGGGAGGGGGCTTAGAGTAACTGTAACCGGCATTTATTTATTTTTTAAACAAAAAGAGGGCTAGTAATCGAAAGAGATAAATTAACAAATCTAACACTAAAAATGATAGGTTTATTTTACCATTAGCATGTCCCCTTAACACTCAAGTTTCCAGAACTGAAATGTATTCTTATAGACCACCTGTGTTAAAGCAGGTATTCCTGTGTAAACCGTGCCATAAAACCAGTGTAAAAGAAGAATGCAATACATCTAACTAATGACCTTAAAATGTGCCCAGTCACCCTGTGACTGCAAAAAAGCTTCCAGGAACATTGAAAAACCATCAGGAAATTTACTGACGTGTGAATTGTCAGGAAGATGTTAGGCCAATATAGCCAGAAGGGAAACCAGGAAACAATTTAAATATCTCCTGGAAGATGTAAGGGACAGGTCTCAAACTGTTCTCTCTGAAAGGGTTAAAATACAGACGCCCCCCAAAAAATTGCAGAACAAAGTTATTACGACAAACTCCTCATACTGAAGCAATTTTGCTTGTATCCTGTTTATCACTACCTGATGCACATATTATTCAAAAAGTAATTTCTTTATTTTACATTATTAATATTAAATCTGTAGAATTGTATTTCACCTTGTTCTAACGACTTCATTGCGCAGCCAAGTTTGTTATTGTTATAACTCTATAAAAATGTGCAACTCATCCTGCCACAGTATAACTTGAATACATCTATGAATGCGCTGTTGTGGCGTATGTCGATGCTATATAACAACATGCACAGCAAAAATAAAGAATTTTTAAAAATCTATAGAATTCTAATAATCTCCATTACTCAATAATTGGCAGGTGGCATACAAGTAGTAATTTTAGAAGTTCAAATTAAATTGAACGACTCGGTTCACAGGATAAGGGGATATTACATATTATATAACATCATTTTGCCTGTTAAGAAATAGAAACTTTTTTGGTGACTGCAGATTCATAGTTCAATCTGCAGCTGACTTCTTCATATTCCAGACACAAACTATGATCAGGTACTACAATTCACATTATGATCAGGTACTACAATTCACATTATGATCAGGTACTACAATTCACACTATGATCAGGTACTACAATTCACATTATGATCAGGTACTGCAATTCACACTATGATCAGGTACTACAATTCACATTATGATCAGGTACCACAATTCACACTATGATGAGGTACCACAAATCATATTATGATTAGGTACTACAATTAACACTATGATGAGGTACCACAATTCATATTATGATCAGATACTACAATTCACATTATGATCAGGTTCTACAATTCACACTATGATCAGGTACTACAATTCACACTATGATGAGGTATCACAATTCATATTATGATCAGGTACTACAATTCACATTATGATCAGGTACCACAATTCATATTATGATCAGGTACTACAATTCACACTATGATCAGGTACCACAATTCACACTATGATCAGGTACTACAATTCACATTATGATCAGGTACTACAATTCACATTATGATCAGGTACTACTATTCACACTATGATCAGGTACTACAAATCTGCCACGCCCCTTGCACACAACCTATGACTAGTTGTATTTTTGGTATAAAACCCTTTCCTTGTAGCCCAGATTCCCTATAATCCAATATAAAGTGTGCCACTAGAACCTGCATAGGGTGGCACCTGGCAGAGCCTAGTGAGGTGGGCAGTGGTTATGGTACATGGAGCCATGAGAAATTGCTACTTAGTAACATTCCTCATCGTTTCCCAAACTTTACTGATACTTCCTGGAAGCCGGGTCAGACCATTCCTGCACACACGGGGGGGGGGATCTCTGAGAGGATGGGGTGTGAGATAAGCCAGGGCAGAGCAGTGTCACTCCACACTCCTTATTACATATTAATACATACTGACCGTGTGCTCAGCGGCCGCTGGGGGAGATTCATACCGGATTATGTGGGTTATGGAGCCGTGCTCCCCCCTCGCTCCCCCCGGGGTGAGGATTGTTACTGAGTCCTTGTGTTTGAAGTCTTACTGTAAAGAGAGTCTGTAAGGGCTGGGCTCCTCACTGCACCACAGACAGGTGAGTGAGGACAAGCACTGTGAGTACAGCTTGCTGGAGTGTGAGTGAGGATCAACACAGATAGTACAGCTTGCTGGAGTGTGCGTGAGGATCAACACAGAGAGTACAGCTTGCTGGAGTGTGAGTGAGGATCAACACACAGAGTACAGCTTGCTGGAGTGTGAGTGAGGATCAACACACAGAGTACAGCTTGCTGGAGGGTGAGTGAGGATCAACACACAGAGTACAGCTTGCTGGAGTGTGAGTGAGGATCAACACAGATAGTACAGCTTGCTGGAGGGTGAGTGAGGATCAACACACAGAGTACAGCTTGCTGGAGTGTGAGTGAGGATCAACACACAGAGTACAGCTTGCTGGAGTGTGAGTGAGGATCAACACACAGAGTACAGCTTGCTGGAGGGTGAGTGAGGATCAACACAGATAGTACAGCTTGCTGGAGTGTGCGTGAGGATCAACACAGAGAGTACAGCTTGCTGGAGTGTGAGTGAGGATCAACACACAGAGTACAGCTTGCTGGAGTGTGAGTGAGGATCAACACACAGAGTACAGCTTGCTGGAGGGTGAGTGAGGATCAACACACAGAGTACAGCTTGCTGGAGTGTGAGTGAGGATCAACACAGATAGTACAGCTTGCTGGAGGGTGAGTGAGGATCAACACACAGAGTACAGCTTGCTGGAGTGTGAGTGAGGATCAACACACAGAGTACAGCTTGCTGGAGTGTGAGTGAGGATCAACACACAGAGTACAGCTTGCTGGAGGGTGAGTGAGGATCAACACAGATAGTACAGCTTGCTGGAGTGTGCGTGAGGATCAACACAGAGAGTACAGCTTGCTGGAGTGTGAGTGAGGATCAACACACAGAGTACAGCTTGCTGGAGTGTGAGTGAGGATCAACACACAGAGTACAGCTTGCTGGAGTGTGAGTGAGGATCAACACACAGAGTACAGCTTGCTGGAGTGTGAGTGAGGATCAACACACAGAGTACAGCTTGCTGGAGGGTGAGTGAGGATCAACACACAGAGTACAGCTTGCTGGAGGGTGAGTGAGGATCAACACACAGAGTACAGCTTGCTGGAGGGTGAGTGAGGATCAACACACAGAGTACAGCTTGCTGGAGGGTGAGTGAGGATCAACACACAGATTACAGCTTGCTGGAGGGTGAGTGAGGATCAACACACAGAGTACAGCTTGCTGGAGGGTGAGTGAGGATCAACACACAGATTACAGCTTGCTGGAGTGTGAGTGAGGATCAACACAGAGAGTACAGCTTGCTGGAGTGTGAGTGAGGACCAGGACAGGGAGTACAGCTTGCTGGAGGGTGAGTGAGGACCAGGACAGGGAGTACAGCTTGCTGGAGGCCGAGTGAGGACCTGTACAAAGAGCACAGCTTGCTGGAGTGTGAGGACCAGGGCAGGGAGTACAGCTTGCTGGAGGCTGAGTGAGGACCTGTACAAAGAGCACAGCTTGCTGGAGTGTGAGGACCAGGGCAGGGAGTACAGCTTGCTGGAGGGTGAGTGAGGATCAATCCTGAGAGTACAGCTTCCTGGAGGGTGGGTGTGAGGACCAGGGCAGGGAGTACAGCTTGCTGGAGGGTGAGTGAGGCTCAATCCTGAGAGTACAGCTTCCTGGAGGGTGAGTGTGATTTTGGGAACTTTGTCATGAGTGTGGCAAGATGCTTTATAGAAATGAGTGCAGCTGACGAAGCAGGCTATTACAGAAAGTATAAATGAAGATTATTGAATGGGTTATTATAACCGGTTTGGTACCACATTATGTGTTAATTTGCAGATGGCATTATCCGCCCAGTACAATTATCTACAAATCAGTGGTACGCAACCTTCTGCAATCCAGATGTTGTGGACTACATCCCCCATAATGCTCTTACAGCGATAATGCTGGAAAGCATTATGGGAGATGCAGTCCAGAACGTATGGAGTGCCAACGGTTGCCTACTCCTGGTTTGCGTTTTAGGATTGAGAGACAATCCATTTTAGTTAAGTCTATGTCTGCCCTCAAGATGTTGTTAAATTTGGCAAACAACCTGTAAAAATGAATGCTTTCTAAATGTTGTTGTATTCAGAGTGTACTGTCACTACCATATACTTAAATAAATGTGGAGTTGTCTGGTTGTTGTTGGCTGGTTTGGTGACTGGAAATAATGAATTCAAACAGTTGTAAAAATTCCCATCAACGTATTAATGCTTTATTGCTCAATATCTGTCCCACCGCTCAGCACTGAAACACTTCCTGTTCTGTGTACTGAGTGCTATAAGTGCTTCTTTCCTGTTGTAAGAGATTACCTAAACGTGGCACATTACTAAACAAGAGCAGAGACGGGAGAATACTTTAATGTTAACCTCCTCGTGTGGCACAGAAACTTGTTTAAAGTCAACAATTTCTATGGCAGACAGGTAGAATATTTTGACTGTCATACCGTAAGTCTATTAATTTAGAAATACATATCCATTGCTTATTTCTAAATTTGTATCCATGGCTCGTTAAGCTTTATGATGCGCAATCTTGAAACTGTATCTGCCTTTAAAAAGATTGTTAAGATTTTCAATCATTTTCCTAGGGACCATTGTGGATGAATGATGCAGTCAATGAATGACACTAGACGAACCCAACAGTAAGACTTTTTGTGCCCGACGTTGAAGTAGGGGATAAATTGACTTTGCTGCCGAGCCATGGCGTGCGGAGGCGAATTGCAAGGCGTTGATATGAACTCCATACCTCTTGTTGCCCTAAATTATTCTGTGAGGCAGCGACTGTCTTTGTATCTCAATCCGGGGACTGTGGTGGCTTCAGACTGGACTCAGTTAGCTGAGGAGATGAATTATGACTATCTAGAAATACGTAACTTCGAGAGATCAAAGAACCCGACCCTGACGTTGCTGGAGGATTGGGAGAAACGGTGCTTCCGTGCCACAGTTGGAGGACTTCTGGAAATGCTGAAAAAAATTGAAAGGAATGATATTCTCACAGACCTTGCGTCATTAATCGGTAAGTAAACCATCAACATTTTATTGAGTGCTGTATAAGAAAATGGGTTCTTTGAAAATTCTACTGTGTGCAGCTGCAGATCCAGAATAAGTGAAGTGTTATTCCTTTTCATCTTTTGAAGTCCACTCGATCCATCCACTAGCCATTCATTAACTGAGAGCATCACCTGGCCCCCCCCCCAAGGCTTTCCACTGCCGGCTGATCTCCCTCCCCGTTCCACAGGCACCGTGCAGCCAGTCGGCAGGGGAGGAAGAGAGGACCTGGGGCAACGCTCCGGCTCTCACGAGGGTGAACTCTAGCCCTGGAGCTACGGGCTAGAGTTTACTTTCACCACTTCCTGGTGGTCCCAGTAGTAGGAGTGAACTCTTGTCCCATACACACACTGCCCCACACACACCATACACATTCACACACTGCCCCCACACACACACCATACACATTCACACACTGCCCACCCACACACTGAACCTTTCACACACATTGCACCACTGCTCCTATACCCTACTACAGCCCCATATCCCAGCAGACTCCAGGTAAGTTGTCAAACTGTTCTTAAATGGTTTGACGACTTACTCTGGGAGGGGGTGCCGACGCTCCTGGCACCATAACCACTACACAGAGGAGTAGTGGTTATTGTGCATGGAATATTTCTTTAAATAATCTACAAGTGCCCCTCTCAGGCTCAGGCTCTGGATCCGCCACTAGTATATGACATGTATATTAATGTGTGTATTAGTTAGTATATATATATATATATATATATATATATATATATATATATATATATATATATATATATATATATATATATATATATATATATATATATATATAAATATCTCTTATATTTACACATACTAATGTACATTTATAAATGCATAATACACAGAGAAATTTCATTAATATGTACCATATGTAATGAACAGATATTGGCCCAGTCTTGTTGCTAGGTGCATACTCCAGCACAATAACATATTTAAAGTGAAGAGCGCAGCCACAGGACTTCAAAATAAACATTTTTTACAGTTGTGCCCTACATACATTCACCATTTCAGTCCCATTAACAAGCTTTCCTTAATATGTCAAGGTAGTGGGACTGAAACATTGATTACATGCAAAGGCACGTCTGCTTAAAATAAATCTGCACTTTTGTTTATTTTAAAGCCTATGAGTGCGCTTTTTACGGTGAAGTACTTTTTAATTTCAAGTTATCTGTTCTAACTCTGTATCTGCACACTATGCTGGCGCGACGCATTATGGGGCTGGTAAATATTTTTTTTCCAGGGCTGCTTTTAATTCCCAGTCCGGCCCTGCCTACTGACTGAGCTTAGTGGGAGTTGCACTCCTTGGAAACCTTTACTAGAGACAGCCAATTACCATTCATACTCTTCTGATAATGAAATTCAGGGGAATAAGCTGGGGAGACAGAGAAAATTATATTTTTGTCTCCCCAGCACTTTTCCCTACATGTCACACGTCCGGAGATGAGCTGAGTTTGCTGGTGATACCCTAAGTTTCAAAGACCCCTAGCCTTAATTTGAAAAATAATCATGTAATATGCGTAATGATGAATGAAGCATGTGTTGGGGTCAAATAATGTCGTCATCATCGAGCGCTCCTGGAGACCCAACTTGGATAATATATATGACATATGCCTATTCCTGCAGGGACACTATATTCACCAAAACAACTACAGCTTATTGTATTTGTTCTGGTAAGTAGAATCATTCCCTTCTGACTTTTTGCAGTAAACACTGTCTTTTCAGAGAAAATGCAGTGTTTACATTACAGCTTAGGGACACCTCTGGTGCATTCTGGGGCAGTGCTGCACAGTGTGACTGACATTCACCATGGAGACGCTGAATTTTCCTCATAGAGAGGCATTGATTCAATTAATCTCTATGAGGAGATGCTGATTGGCCAGGTTGACATTTGCCCCTATAGAAAGGCATTGGAGTGGCTGAGATGATCAATTCTGATGATGTTAGCGAAGGAGGTGAATCGGGGGTGGGACCAGTGGAAAATTAAAATTTTGAGCGGTGATCCTATTTTCCAATGCAGTACTAAATGGTGCATGATGTCATACTTGCAGGGTTTGACTGACACAATGGCCACTAACTTCATGGCAGCTTCCCTGGAAGCCTAAGAATAGTGGGAGTTGCACTTCTTAGTTAGTGAAGTATATGTTGTGAGAGGAGCGGAGGAGACAGAAGTGGTACATTTCTACTCTGCTGCGCTCTCAAAATATATTTATCAGGTGAGGGTGGCAGCTTTCAATAGTTATTTCTCTCCGGAAGTATAACTCACACTAGTCTCAGACAGGCTGCAATCTCTATGTCGCACTGCTGCGCTTAATCTACAGGAGCCCTAATCCTAAAATAGCTAACACTATAGTGGTTATGGTACCCCGATGTCCCTGGTTCCCAGTGAACAAACTGAGTGTCCGTCAGGCAGGCCTTTTTCTCAGCGTATTGCGATGTTGAATGAACTTGCAATGCTTATGCAGAAGTGTAGCTTGCACAGTCGCAATATGTTGAGAGAGAGAGGCCCTTGGTTTGCGTCAAACTGCTCGAAAGTCCACCAGATGGGCCCCAGATGGGCCCCAGGTCATGCTGGGACCATAACCACTACAGCAGACTGCAGTGGTGGCAGTACTTTTAATGCTGTTTTTAAAAAAAACTGTGGAGAGAACTTTGAGAAAGAGATTCTGCACACAGACAGACCATAAAGTAAAAAATATTGTTCTGTTATCATGCAAACACTTTAACTTCTGCTTTGCAGAAAACTACACATACTGGTTTTGTAACATTTCATTGCTTTTTTTTTTTTTCTGGCCATGTATTTCCTGCGTAAATGTATGTGTTTATACACACTCTCACACACTGTTAGACGCTCCATGCGCCTTCCATGCATCCTCATTGGCCAGTTGTACAATCTGAGTTGTGACTATACACAATTCCTGCCATTTATCCCTAGCTGAGACCAGTGAACGTGGTCTTCTTTGTCAAAGAATAAAATACCTGTCTGCCGTCTTTAATTTCCCATCGTGCTATCGGATATAAACCACTCTCTCATACTAATTCAAACCGCCTTGGCTGTCCATGCACCTTGTACTACCTGAGATAATGAGGATTGATGTGAGGACTATGTTTGTGTTATTTTGGCAAGCATTTTCAAAGGGTTTTTCACCAACGTGAAAATTAAAAGTGAATTTTACGTTTTTAAGGTCAATATAGCTGAACTGGAAGAATTCTCCAAGCCAGCTGTGCTTTCAGCTTGGCTACTCTGGCCTTAAAATTTTAATTCACTTTGAATTCTCACTGTAATAAATAGTCCTGATCGTATATTTAGGTCTCTAAATAAAACGGTTGTACTCAGTGTTTCTCATGAGCTCCCTTATCAGACCTTCAGTGCCAGGATTATATCATGTGTATGTTTTTATTTTTCTGTGTCTTGTGGTTACACACAGTTTTGATGAAATAGCTCAAATATTGGCCACGATAAAATAAAACCTCAGCAAGTGTGGTGCTAAGTGCTTCGTATGAGCAAACCGCTGCAGCATTCCATTGGTTTCTATGGAGACTGCACAGGATATTGCACCTTATCTTAGAAACTCTTTACTTTGATGCACAGTTGAGGATTTATATCAATTTGCAGGTAACACAGAGATACCACATGTTCTATAGTAAACGTTTGACATTAACATTGACTTCTGATTGACTGGAACACGAAATCTTACCATTAAACCATTTATTTTTCCGTTTTAGAGGCGGACTGTGTGAAGTACCTGCAGAAACAGCGAGAGTTAAGTCTCCCACCTCCTGTACAGGATGAGACCGTGGACAGCAGTCAGTCACTTGGAATCACAATAAGTGATGATCCTACTGGTAAGGGAAGGGGTGGGGGTCCCTTATTTTCAAAATACAATGTGAATAGAACTGTTATATTGTTGAGTAAAAGTCACAACCAATGTGTTATAAGGAAATGTGAGGTGAATTACCGTAGGCAGGGAGGTGGGCTACCATAGATTGGAAGGTGGGCTACAGTAGGATAAAGAGGGTCGATATGACAAATAAAGGCTGCAGGAAATGAAGCAGAATAGATCCATCCTGCATTGTGTGGAGTTGAGGAAATAAAAATGTATATTAAGACTTACCGTGAGTGTAAAATTAAAATTGTTCTCCTTTGATTAAGTGCAAGTCTGTATTTTGTTTGTGCTGAGCAAATAGGGGATGGGTCAGCTTTGCTGCAGACATACCTTCTATAGTTAAGGAAATCTATGATTTTTAGGGATCCTGTGTATCTAAATTTTCTTGATTATAGCATAGGTGCGCTGAATCTTTTGGAACTTTTATAAGTAAACAAATAATATATAGTTACTATATTTTCTCAATGAGTAGGAATCATTTATACTGAATCTACACCTCTCCCTGCTGTGTATATAAAATGTTTGGTCAAAGGAGGCCATTCGCATCATGTGGCGGGTGGGCCCTTCTCATTGAGCTGCATTAGGAGATCTGTGATTGGAAAGCCACACACTGAATCCCCTCTATAAGAGCATTGTGGAGGGTTAACTGCTAAGTGACTTTGTTTAATGGTTGTTTTATTTTTCTGATCACTAACAGGCCAGATACCCGAGCTGTTTGATGCTTTTATCTGTTACTGCGCCAAAGACCTCTCATTTGTGCAGGAGATGATAACGCGGCTGGAGCAGACTGATCATAAACTTAAGCTCTGTGTGTTCGATCGCGATGTCCTCCCAGGAACATGTTTATGGTCCATAACCAGCGAACTTATTGAAAAAAGGTAAAATACACTGGTTTATGGCCCTAAATACAACCTTTAGCAACTTGCTGTATAGGATTATAGTCCTGCAGACATTTTTAAACCACAAAACCATAAATCTCATTATAATGTCTCTGGAACCTGTTAAATTAGCGTTCTAACCCTGCAATATGCTATATTATATATGTATTCTGTCTTGCTAATTTTCTCTCTTCTGTGGCTTGTAGGTGTAGGAAGATGGTGGTTATAATATCGGACGATTACTTGGACAGCAAAGAATGTGATTTTCAGACCAAATTTGCACTGAGTCTTGGTCCCGGTATGTTCACTTGGCAAAAGAATTGTTATCCATATACACAATGTGCATTCAAAACTCATTAAAGGGGTACTACTTATCACTGTGGCTTTTCCTCCACCACCTAAGAAATACTGCAGTGCCACTCATGCATACTGCGTCATTTCATGACAATGCACATACAAGCATGTTCGCTAATTCTTGTATAAAAAGCTAGGTGATGAGAGGGATTGGTTGAGAGATTTTAGACAATTCCTGGTTTCTGTGAGAATCAGTAGAGGCTGATATAGATCCTGGAAAACCTGTCGAGAGAGCATTAATTGTGATAAAGAAACCTCTTTAATAATATGTTTAAATAAATTATGAAGTAGATGGTATGCTTTGACTTAAAGGGACATTCTGAACCCCTAAAGCACGTTGGCGTGCTGAAATGCTTTGTGTCGATTGTGTGCCCTTGTTTTTCATTTTATAAAAAGTGGTGATTTCAATTGAAATTGGCACTTTTTAAATGAACATTGTAACACCCCCTCCCTCCCCCCCTCACTGTCAATCAGACAACAGGTCCTGTGGGGGAAGGAACATCCAGAAATTGATACTTTTATAAAGTAAAGTAGTTATGCCTCTGAGCTGTCAATCAGATGACCATTCCTGTTACTTCCTGGTTTGTTTAGCTCAGGGGAGATAAACTCAAGAGGCAGCAATTGCCCAGAGCACCTACCTTGCAAAAACTTCTCATTGAGCTGAATTTGGAAGTCTGTGATTGGACAACCACCAACATGGTTTCAATAAACATTTATCTACTAAATAGTGATTTTTATTTTATTTGGGCAGTGGAGTGTCCCTTTAAACATATGCATCTGTAAAAAATCTGGTAGTAAATGATAAGTTGGTAAATGTTACATTTTTATTTTTAACTTTTCTTTAGGTGCCCGTGAGAAACGCCTGATTCCGGTGAAATATAAACCGATGAAGAGGCAATATCCCAGCATTCTGAGTTTCATCACCGTGTGTGACTATACCAATCCCTGCACACAGGTCTGGTTCTGGCAGAGACTCGCTAAGGCTCTCAAAAACTAATCTACAGGATTGACTTTTCATTGCTGCAAGGGAGTCATGTCGTGATCCTTGACATTAAGAGAAAATATATTTTTATTTGTTCCACAAACTTCTTCCACCGAAAGGCCACTATTTTGATATGATTACATATTTTTTTTTTACACCAGAGTTTATTAATCAAATGAATTGCAATGTCTGATGTTGACAACTCCAGGCGATGGTACACCAGACCAGTGTAGATGTAATTTCTTATGATGCTTCGGAAGATGGCCAAACATCATGGTTAATGTAGTTTACAACCATCTGGGAAATCTCTCTTCTAGGTGAATAATCTATGTCTGTCTTTTTCTCTTAGAACCTTGATACTCTGGTTTAAATGTAAAGGTTCTGTGTGTGCAAACAGCTCACATTGGTAAATTCTTTCCTGCTAGAAGGCTGTTCAGACAAAGCCGGCTAAACTGTTGTCTGAGCAATTTAAAGGTGCTTCGTTCTACTTGTTGTGATAACTAGGAATTTATTCACTAAACAGTGACATGAAAAGGGAAATTCAACTTTTTATTCTAAAGAAGCTGAGCTGGTAAAAAAAACAAAACTCTAACAAAGCCTGTGTTCCAACATTGTTTGTTTGTCCTAAAAGATTCAATTCCTTGGTGAATTCCCCACAGTACACGGTTAAATGAATACAGCCCATGGCAGTATGAGTATCAGTGTCAAGTGATATATAATCGATTTCTCTTCCCTTAATTTAAAGATGCAACGACTTTTAACATTGCCAGCATGGTACTTTATTTGTAACTTTAAAAAAAAAAAAAAAGTTTTGTTTTTTTTCCCTCTTAAAACAGATAATGTTAAAAAAAAAAACACATGCAATATCACCAGTCACAAATTGTTCACAGAAATTTGAATTTCTGTCATATTTTATATTGGAAGTATATATTTTTGAAACCGTTTCCATGCATTTTACCTAAGTGGGTAATGGGTAACACTGTCTGGTAACATTTCGCACCATTTCCCACAGATCGTCTTGGCTGCTTGTTGACAGTTTGTCTATTTAAAAAAAATAAAAAAAAATAAAAATTACAATTCTCGATATAGTATACAAATGTTACATTGTTTTAAGAGTTGAGGTGTTGGGTATTCAGTACTGTGTCCATTGTGCCATAATGACGTAGTCTAAATAAGGTCAATTTCTTTGCTTAACCAGTTACCCTAGTTAGAATGCTTGGGTACTTAGAAATAAAATTATTCCCAAAGCAATTAATGTAATGTAATGTAAAGTCATGTGCAAGTCTGTTTTTGGAGCAGACAGATTAATCTGTACAAACTTAAAATCTCCTGACGGGTAAATATTTTATGTAATGTAAATGTGATTAGGATTTGGGACTTGTAACATGTACCAATCTATACTTTTATATTTTCAATATTTTAACAGAAATGTATAAAACAAAGTACTGTACTTATTTAACTTTTATCTCTGCCGTATGTGTTCCCAAACTTCACAATTTAAGTTCTGTTCATTGAATTCCAGATTGTTTTGTTAGAAGTCTATGGAGGGGAATATTATTAAAGGATCACTAAAGGCACACGTAACCACTTCATCTTTAAACCCTATGCAAAAAAAAATTAAAAAATTAGCAGTTTTGTAGAAATTTTGACATTTCCCTTACAGACTCAAAACAATTCTAGTTCCTGTCTTTCTAATGGCCACTATAGGTGCTTCCCTGTGAGAACCTAGTCAAACTCTGTTCTCAATCAATAAGCTGTTAACAGCGAGCATTTGATTGGCACAAGTGCACTAGTTACATAGTTACACAGTGGAAAAGAGACTTGCGTCCATCAAATTCTGCCTTTCTCACATATGTTTTTGCCGTTGATTCAAAATAAGGCAAAAACCCAGTCTGTAGCGCTTCCAATTTTGCAACAAACTAGGAAAAATTTCCTTCTTGACCCCAAAATGGCAGTCGGATATCGCCTTGGATCAAGCAGCAAGCTTCCCAGTGTTTTCCTTTGATTATCTCAGCCAATGCAATGCTGCCCCAATCTTAATGATCTCAGTCAGGGAGATGAAGCGGCCATTTTGAGGCTAGCGCAGTAAGAGCGAAAAGCTAAGTAAATGGTTTTTGTTTTCTTTAATGGGTCATAGCATCAACTTCAAATCTATTACCTCTGAACAGCTTCTGATTGGATACCACAAATGTATCCATTTGAAGCAGCTATTCTTATTTACAAAGTGTCTTTGGAGGGAATTATTTACTAAATTAAACTTTAAACAGGCTTTGGAAGGCTGGAAGTTTTGGAACTACCATTCCAGGGTGCCGCGGGTGGTGTTACGGCTCCAGGACTAAAACTAAATATAGCTATATAGGCAGCGTTTCATACTGAAACACAGCACTTACAAACTCCAAGCACCATAACCACTGCAACACACTGGAGTGGTCATGGTGCTCTGATTAACTCATTTCATTTCTGTGAATTTGTGCTTGCGCATTGTGTGGCCCATATTCTGCAACTGTAATCATTGTATTCATCCTCTATAAACTGTGTGGACGTAAATACAACAAGGCGGATTTAACAAAGTATAAAGCTTAAAGGAAACACGCTTTTAACAGAGTTATGTAGGGCTAGTACGTTTTTACACTGCAGATGCTGGAAGTAAAATTGCAGTAGAAGCAGATCCCTTCCCCGACAAATAACTCTATTTAGCAAAGTCAGCCTTGATACCATCTGCTAATTTATATCCATCCACGCGTTTCATTCATTGATGCTGATTTGTTTTCATTATATCTAATTGAATGTTCCCAAGATAAGAAATATGAATATACTGGGTCAGTGTCTTGTGTTTAATCAATGCTCTCAAACAAGAGTACGAGAAACAACCAGATCTGAATCCCCGGCATGTGTCAAAACATACAGAGCAAGGGTCACATTCGTTGGGAACCAGGATACATTCGGTACCAGCAGCAACTAGGAAACTCTTTAGTATAATCTATAACATCTCGAAAGATCAGTCAATACAATTCATTAACTGCACCGGCAAATTAAGAAAATGAATGTGATGTATAGATCTTTTTGTAAGGCATCTGTATAACTTAAAAAAAATTCTTATAATTTTAGGATATTATTATTATTGCCATTTATATAGCGCCAACAGATTCCGTAGCGCTTTACAATATTATAAGAGGGGGATTTAACTATAAGTCGGACAATTACAAAAATCTTACGGGAACAATAGGTTGGACCGGGAAAAACACTCTTTTTATTAATATACTTTTGACTTGTAAAGCCACAGTCAAAAGTTTGCCACAGGCAGGCCCCTAGAGGGTGTGAGAGTAGCCGGGCCGGTAATATCCATCGTAACCAAAGGACAGCACAAAAGTGCCATAAGGCTTCATGTTTGCTGCGGTGAAGCAATGTTGAGATGTGCTGGAAGTATTGACAGGATGCACAGAAATGCAAAGTCTGCGTAAGTTTCCACTCTGCGTGTTTTTTGGAAAAAGTTATGTGTCCAAAGTTATAATGTATTTACAAATATTACATATCTTTATTCTAAAATGTAGGGGGGGAAGTTAACTGTTAAAATGTAACTTCTGCACCAGATCTTAGTCTTACGTAAGTATCAGCTTTAGAACAGTCAGCTCTGACTATCTAAGGATGTCACTGGGACAATTGGATGGCGGAAGAATGAGACACTGAGATCTTTTTATGATTGCAGAATGGGGTGCCACTGCCAACCTAACCTCTCCAAAAAGAAGAGCCACTGATAAAAATTACTTTTATTATTGTGCAAGCAAGCCGTATACATATTATCTTTTTTTTATCATATTTGTGTTTATTGTTTTTGTCACGAAAAACAGGGGAACAGAAGGAAAAGGGAGAAGGGATAGGGGGTTCCACAATAAAATATACATACATACAGTGGTTATACATTAATCATACACATTGCATGGTAGATTGCGTAATCAACAGCTTTCTCTCGGGGCAGTATGCGTTACAGTCCTGTTTGACGCCTACATTTCTTATTCGGTTGTGCATATCGGTGCATGTCTACAGATAGTACTGTTATGCAATTTACATTACATTGTATACATTACATTGTATGTGCAGGGTCGCCTCCTAGGGTTATTGCCATATAGTAACTATGTTCTGGTGCCTATATATGTTTGACTCTTAACATGTTTATTGCTTGGCCCACATTGGTCAACGTGTGTGGAGTATGGGGGAACTCAGGGTAGGGAGTGAACTCAACTTAACAGAAACTTGTACTGGAACTTGAGCTTGATCTCGAGCTTGATCTCGAGCTAGGACCATTGAGAAATGCTTAGGGAACTACAGTGGCTATGCTCTCCTCGGTTTTGTGTCGTTATTTTTATTATTGCTGTCATCATTGTTATCGGGCCTGGCCCGCTATGTAGTGCTCGTCCTTCGGTATGTGAGCCAGTCCTGCCACACCACCTCATGTTGTTGTGCTTTCCCCTTCAGACCCATAGCCATGTTTTCGTATAGACAGACTTTATCTAATCTCTTTGAGATCTCTTCTATCGAGGGGATAGCTTTGTCCTTCCAATGATATGCTATAGCCATTTTAGTGACTGTGAGAAGGTTTACAATTAGTGGGGTGTGGTGCTTCTGGTGTAACATTGGCAACATATGTAGTAAGTAACTTTCAGGCGTCAATGGCATGGTAAATAGGGTTAGTTTGTTTACCAGTGTTTGTACACTTAGCCACAGAGGCTGAATGTCTTGGCATTCCCAGAAGACATGGATCAGTGTACCCTGGGCTTTCTCGCACCTCCAGCATAAAGAGGAGACTGTACTGTACATTTTGGCTAATCTATGTGGCACCATGTACCATCTCATTGTGATTTTGCTGTATGCTTCCCACATGGAGATGCTACTAGATGCCTTCTTGGTGTTAGCTATGGCCTTGTGCCATTTATACATATTATCTTAACATATCCATTAAAAATATAAAACATGCATCATTTTAAAACCAGTAACTGGATTTCCCCTTCTCACAGAGCTCCACCCAATAAAATTCCTAGTAATATGCTTTGTGTAGGAGTATCACAGAGCTCCGCCAAAATAAAACACAGGAATATTCAATACATATTGGTGTATCACAGAGCTCTACAGCAAGAAAACTCACACACAGTTATTCACTAAAATGAGAAATGGGAATTCAAATTAAATATTAAATTTAAAGCTAAATGGTAGTTTTTCATATTCATTTTTTTTGTTTAGTTTATAAGGTCATGTTGGGCTCTATTACACACACCTACCTCCTCTTCCCCTACAAAATAACCATAAATGCACCTGGGATCCAGTGATTCAGTCCACAGCTCCCCTTCTGGATTCATCTGATCATTAGTGGCGCTCTCTTGTGGTTCAATAAAATGCTTTTCACAGAGAAGCATTTGATTGGACCGTTTCACATGTGCCCATATGTGCACAGTGAGCTGGTAAAGAGGAGGGAGGGGAAATTTAGCCAAAATAATAATACTGTTAAAGGGACACTCCAGGCACCAAAACAACTTCCTCAAGGAGTTAAACCGTTCTTAAACAGTCTAACCCCAAATGTGACTCGATCGGCGATGTCCACTCCCCTCCAGATGGCACCCAGCCCATGCATTTTCAGATTAGGGAAGGGTGGAGTGCCGCCGGGCAGGGCGCCGCTATTTGGCTGAGAGCAATCAGCTGACGCTCTCACCCAAACAGCGGAAGTCCCTTACCTGCGGCACTCTGCACTACCCGAATCTGAAAATTCGAAAGCGGGAAAGCCGCCAGGGGAGAGGTCGACATCGCTGCTGGAGGCAACTTTCTTGAACGGTTTAACTCATTGAGGTAAGAGTGCCTCCAGTGGCCTCCTGGCACCATAACAACTTCATTTAGATGGAGTGTCCCTTTAAGGGTATAGGGAGGAAGGCATGGTGGGGGGACATACACACAGAGGCATTACGTCTATTGCCGGCGTGCAGTGCGCACTGACGACAGACTTTTTTTAGAGAATTAATATGAATAAATCAGTTTTCAGTTCAGTGAATACCCTGGGAGCAATGTGCAGTGTATGAGGGTATCACAGGGCTCCCCACCAATAAAACTCACTGCCATATAATAATTATGTTTACTGTGGGTTTGAACCCACTAAACCCTGTTACATAAAATGTTATTATTATCTGAGGGGAATTCTAGGGGAAGCCACGCCCCGGCCACGCCCACATGACTTGCGTTCATTCATGTTTCCCAGCTTCATACTTAAACCAAACATAAACCACTAGTCCTCGCTAATAAATAAATAAATAAAAACCATGCGATTTATAACTCGTACAGACATTTGCTGTAATTTCAGCATAAGACCTTTGTGCTTGGCTACACTGCCCACATCAAACATGGCGACGGTGCACACTCGTGACGTCAACATCAATAAGAAACAGCCAATCGCAGTTCTGAAATGCGATGAAACGGTCCAATCAGGTGCGTCTATGGGTGGGGTTAAGGGTTCTGGGACGTTAAGGGTCACGTCTTACGCTGTCACCGCCCATGGGTTTAGCGCGGCCATGTTGAGTGTGGCAGGAATTCTTGTTGTTTTTTTAGCCAGTAGGAGAATGATTGTACATTGATTAGTGAAGTCAAGGGAGGAATTAATTAATCTAAGCCATTCTCTATTCTCAGCACATACAGGAATCAGTTCTAGTAATTTATAATGCTTTATCTTTACTGGAAATCACATGCTGATATTTTGGGTTATTTGTTATTTGGATAATTTACTAAATAGAAAAAACAAACAGTAGGAGTTCACTGCAGCTATTTAGTGTTTATTTTGGTCCATTCCTCCAATTGGCCACATCTGGCTGATGGGAGTTAAAGTCCTGATTAGTTGGAGGACTAGTAAAGTTTGTGTAGCCCAGTCTAGTTAAATAAGGTAAATGTGGCCTTTTTTGACCATGAAATCTCAGAATTTATACAGAAAGCACAGGAAATTCATTGTAATGCTATCCGACAATAAACATGAACCATAGTCTGCTCTGCATTGTCTCATGTGCAGCCCAGTTGTGGCAAAATGTGTTAATGGGCAGAGCTTGTCCCACCATATCCTGCCATTTCCAAATGGCGGCCACGAGCAGAGCCACAGAAACCTGTCAATACAGGCCAGAGGGAGGTTCAGATAAATATACTTCCTCCACTCCTTCATCGTCAATAAACCCTGGGGTCTGGTGGAAAAACTTCCAGTCTGCACTTTCCATGGGTGCAGACCCCTTCACTCTGTTCTGGCTGGTCCATGGGTGCAAACCCCTTCACTCTGTTCTGGTGCGTCCATGGGTGCAGACCCCTTCACTCTGTTCTGGTGCGTCCATGGGTGCAGACCCCTTCACTCTGTTCTAGCGCGTCCATGGGTGCAGACCCCTTCACTCTGTTCTAGCGCGTCCGTGGGTGCAGACCCCTTCACTCTGTTCAGGCATTTTACAAGCGAGTCGGGGCATTGGCATGGTAACCCGCTGTGACTCACTAAGAAGGGCCAGATTGCAATGGAGACACAGATTATAAAATAAAGCACACACAAATAAAGTTTTAAATTCTATAAGGCTACTTAAAATCTCATATCTTGGCAAACAAATATGCGGATTCAGTTCCACCATATGTTGTGATAAGCCCACCACTATGCCACCATACCCCAATATCCCCTGCTCAGTGGGGTAAAATGACACAAAGATAAGATTATGTCATGGGATAGTAGGTTGTTAGAAGAGTTCGTAATGAAAGGTTATTTTATTTTTAGCTGACACATTCAGAGGAGAGGAAAATAGGTTAGGGAGGAGGAAAATGTGTTAACGATATCATTGCTAAACATTCTTTTTTTTTTTTTTTTATTCTTTATTTTTGAATTCAGGCATGGAGCGTCACATTTCGTACATGTACCGTGTCATCTTTACAATACATTGACAGCAAATTACTGTATACCATTGCGTTAACATATCGCATTAAACGGAGTTATCGAGCATTACATGTGTTTAATCCTCTCCTCTTACTTTGCCCTTCTCACTTTGAACCGGTATTTCTAGGTATATACACGGTTGATTACCTTTCGATGTGTGTGTTTACTACACGCGTACAGTGCGGGTCTGTTAGAGGGCATTCTCAGGTGAGCATATACCGTGTTATATATGGTGTCAATGCGTTTTGCTACTGCTGTAGGTCCTTGCTATCCCCATAGTGGTGGGGACCTTGTGTGCCCATTTGATGCCCGCGGTTCAGAGAGTGCGTCTTGCTTTGAGCTGTTTAAATTATTGCTCCATACCGAACTTGTTTTTAGGGTGGGGGGAGGGTTTTGTGGGGGGGGGGAGTGTTTGGGTTAGGGACTTTGTGGGGGGGATTCCACCGGGTGCGCCCTCCGCACACGCGAGGTAATTGTCCGATCCCATCATTAGGGATTCCAAGTCTGCCCATCTGCGTGTCTCTGGGGGTGAGTGCCACTCTATTATTTGGGCTAATTGTGCTGATAGGTAGTATAGGTGGAAGTTGGGCAGCCCCAATCCCCCCAGTCCTTTTGGTCAGTAGAGTGTGTGTCGGGCTATTTTATGCCTTTTGTGTGCCCATATAAACTTGTCTATTGTGGTTTGTAGGAGTTGGAGATCCCCTTTCGTGACTTT